ACACACACACCGGAAATAGCGACACTTCATTTATTCTTTTCAGGTTACACTTTAGCGTGCAAAAGGATCTTCTGTGGACATGTACAATTCCGTATAAGGTTCAATAAACTGTAAGATTATGTGCTTGGACATTTAACATTCACGTTCATCGACAACATGGCTAATGGCCCGTCTGCGTCGGGTCCTGGAGTTTCACCATCGACACTGTTGTGATTTTTGTTATCGGAAACGGCCGACGACCGAAAAAAACGCGCGACGGGATGAATTATTTGAGAAGACGGCCGCCCCCACTGTTGTTTGGTATCGATCTACGCAGTAAAATATGTCCATCTTAATATACCGTGTCATTTTCCCAATCTTGGCGTTCTTGTAAAAGTGACATTTCCGACAAATGAAGTGAGATCCCTTTTTTTATTGTAGCTTGTACAATGAAAAAAAAGTTTAAAAAAAGTGATGCAGATGACACTGAGGTGTGGAAGGCAAACACAGAAAAACTAAATGAAAACTAGTTTTGTAGTCTAAAAGTTAAATAACCCTACCCCCGACCCGATCCCAATGTTCACCCCCCCCCCCTCCCCCGATGAAAATACATGGGGATCAGTAGAAAAGCTGCGGCGTTGTGTTCAGGTGGACATATTTTTTAGTGTGTAACCTTCAAGGTGTTTGCATGTCTACGCGCGGGGGGGGGGGACGTGAAAAGGTGTTGCCACATTTTGTACAGTACAATGCAAGAGTGGTGTACATACATCTATTTTTGAGACCGACGTCCGAGCCCGACGGCGAGGGGCGGGGCCTGGGTTCGAGGTGGACGTCTTGTACAGTACATGTTCCCCTTTCTCCTTTCCTTTACACCCCCCCCCCCCCAACCCACCACCGCCGCCCCCCCCCCCCCCCCCCCCCCCCCCCCCCCCCCCCCCCCCCCCCCCCACTGTCCTGTTTCTTCTTAGGATGGATTTTGTAATGCTTGTTCTCGTTTGATTTTTGCTGTTTTTAAAAAGGGGGAGGGACAAAGCGGGGGGGAGGGACAAAGGGGGGGGGGGGGGGGTCACAACCTTGGGGAGAGGAGGTTGGGGAGGTTATTGTGATTGTCCTCTAGTGATGATTATGAATAAAATAAAACACCACAAATTTTCGAAGTGGACGTCATTGTGTATTGTTGTTGTTGCAGTGGGCCACCGGGGGACCAATTATTGGATGGATTTACCAACCCTACAGTATGGCATCATTTTTGTCATCGCCGTGAGACTGACCTTTTCCAACTGTTTGGCCCTGGGTTTATCCAGGATTAATGTCCCCGAAGCTAGCCGGAAACCATTTGTATCCCTCTCTCTCTTTCTCCGTCTGTCGCTCACTGTCGATCTCGCTCTGTCGGTGAGTGAATGAATGGGGCAAGATCAACAATGAAACTAAAGAGCTAAAGTTCACATGACTTATTAATCCAGCTCAACAGAGTAGTCATTAAATGGTCTTCATCACTTCAAACGGGCGGTTAAGCTCCCATCTGATGGTATCACTGCAGACCACAATAGAGCCGAAAGTCTTAATAATTCAACAGTCGATCGTTCGCTTGGTAAAAAAGTAAGATTTTTAATGCGTACAGTGCAGAGATAGAAGTGACTCAAAGTAATAAACATCATTACTCAAGAAGACCATGCGATGCCTTAGCTTAGGAGTGTATACAACGACTACATAACTATAAAAATCTCTATCATCATTAGTGAGTTCCCTGATCGTTACACAAGCTGCGTGTGGGTTTATATGAGCTAAGTCAGCATTTCACAGTATTCTTGACTCCGGCATTTCGGTGACGTCATGTTCATGTGATGTCATGTTCATGTGATGTCATGTTCATGTCATCGGTTAAAAACGGTGTGTGCTCGGTGAGATCGTGACGCGCTATCCATGGCACCTTAATAGCTGATAATAGTACCAAAAAAAAGAAAGACTTTGCTATTCAAAAAGAAGAAAAGACAATTATGCTTCAAATAAAATCCTTGCTCTGAAGTCTTGGAAACATCTCCGTGGACCTATTGGCATTTTGGGAATAGACATTAACAATTCATCGCATTGATTAACATTCAATTCATCTTTACCTTATCAAACGGTCACACCGGTGCTGTGCATGTCAAATGGTTGACTTCTGTAAAATGATATTTTTCCGAAACGTGTTTGAACAGTTAGTCCTGTGGATAGAAGTGCTCTGCAGCTTCAAGGTTTGCTGGTTAGGACCGTGGTTATGGACTTATGGACTCCGAGCCGAGAGGTTCCAGGTTCGATTCTCCAATGTCTGCAGCCTTGACCAAGATGCCCCCCCCCCCCCCCCCCCCCCCCAGCCCCTTCTCCTACCTGTTCCTTAATGATCTGCCGCAGTATTCATGTATGAAAGCGGCACTGGGTCGCAACTCAGCTCAAGACAAAAGTACATGTGCTACTACATGCTTAAGTGCTTCTACATGTATGATGTGATGAGCAAGCGTACCGCAAGGGCCTCAAGCAGAACTACAGCCATATCTGAAATGAAATAAAGGCACCGGGAAAGTGTTGTGATATATGGATAATACCTACGTTAAGCCTAACCCAATCTTTACAGTAATACTATTTACAGTAAATTACAGTATAGTCAAAAAATACCTATGCCTCTTGAAATGAAAAAATAATAATTACATATTGGTTTTGTTACCCTGACGTTACCTAGACGACTAATCTAAGTTGATTCTAGTAAATGGATGAAACTAATTACAATAAACATAATTATTATATCGAGCCGGTCTACCTGTAAAAAATCATGACATCATCCCATCCCGTGACATCACACCAATGTGATGATGTCACATGCCAGGACATCACAGAGTTGTTCCCCCCCCCCCCCCCCCCCCCCTTCCTCCAGCCTCGGACGCGGTTTTTCCCGCCCTCGTTTCAATGGCCGACTCCGGGACGCCAGAAGTACACCGTCACAACGAGGGACCTCGTTATTATTACTTCATTATTAGTCTTCCTCCTTGTTTGTCGGCTGGGCGGGAACTTCCTGTTCCACCTCGAAGCACTTCCTGAAGAAGCTCACCAGCGAGTTGAGCATGTAGCGCCGGCTGGCGTCCGAAGCGATGACATGGCCTTCGTCCGGAAAGATCTAAAGTATACCAAACCAGAAAACAATTTCAACTTCTTTTTTACCCCCACAGAGGTTTAAAAAAAACGCCAAAATAAGCCGGCTATGAGATGTCCTCCTCCCCCGGTTTTCACCCAGAGAAGTGACAGGCCGCGTGTTCGCTACCCCCGGTCCCGGCGCGCACAAAAAGATGCGAGCTTGTCCGCCTGTCAAGCGGACAAGGAGAGGGGGAGGGGGGGATAGCAGGGTGGAGGCTACCGCTAACGAGAGCCGCTCCTCCGCCCACCGCTCAGAGGGGGGAAGCGTGGGCCGAAACGCCGCCACCGCCATGACAACAACAACAACCACGATGACCACAAGCATGACGACAGCAGCAGCAGCAGGCATCAAAACGGACAGACTTGCCTCGTCGGTTTTTTCTACACCAACCCGCTTTTAGTGTGATTCATTTAATTGCTGCGTATGTCGCAGTGTTTCTGACATTTGGGGACACCCACGCCACACACCGACACACACACACACCGACACACACACCGACACACACACACATGCCGCAACATGCTGTTTTTACTGCCACTGCGAGGATTCATTTCGACCGTTAATTCAATCATCATCAGATGAGTTAATGCGCGTTGTTAGCCGTGTGGACTAACAAACGCAGGTGTGACACCTTGACCTCTTCCTCACTCGGCCGCCTTACCTTTTTTTCCTTCTTTTGTATCTTTAATTGCGTCTCAATGTTTCCCCCGGGCCGACAAACAGACACAGTACATGTACGCTGCGGCTGTTCTGCCTTTTATGCTTTTCTTAAGGGAGATGCTTTGGAAAGGACAAGGTTGTATTTCCACTGTGGCTAACTGAAAGGAACTGAGGATTTAAGGATGAGAGACAGGCAGGAGGTCTTTTGCTTTGTTATATATATATATATATATATATATATATATATGGTAACACTTTTGATTAGGGACCACATATTCACCATTCACTAGTTGCTTATAAGCACACATATTGGCTCTTTATTAGTCATTATAAAGCTCTTATTAATGCATTATTCTGCATGACCATATTCTACAACTACTCGGCCGTTCACTTTAATATCAGAGTTTTCCCTCAATAACCTCCTAATTACTGCTTACTGATAGTAAGTGAGGATGTTGCTGTACATCAATTACGATCTTAGCAACTAGTTGATGGTGAATATGTGGTCCCTAATCTAAAGTGTTACTATATATAGAGAGAGAGAGAGAGAGAGAGAGAGAGAGAGATACCTGCAGAGTGTAGTTGAGGTCGGCTGCAGACATCAGCTTCACCAACTCAGCAGAGTGCTGGAAGTGAACAGTGGCTGAAAACGAGGAATGCATTATTCATTCATTGATTTGTGTGTTTAATGTTAATGAACATCTTAATGAATATGTTAATACCTGGTTAACGGTTATTCATTTGGTTAATGGATATTAATTGGTTAAGAATTATAATTAATATATAAGCCTATTTAGATAATCATTTATAAACACAGTACGTAAAGGCAGGATGAAAAAAAAACACAGACACTCATAAAATGTACGGATAATGAAAAACCTTTTTACGAGATTGTAATGGCAATGGCAATTGTAATGGTTGTTATGACAACCGTAATTCAATAAAAAAGGTAATATACATTCAACCTACAGGTACGACCCGCATAACAAGACTTGCAGCGGCTGCAGATACCTTTCTACACGCCAAGAGCAGAGAACTGAGGGGGGTGTAGGGGTTCGACTCCCAGCCGAAAAGCACCGGGTTTGATCCCCAATGACCGCAGCGCCTACCTGCAGGCATGCATGAGCAAGATGCCCCCGACCTCGACAAGTCCATATGACTGTCCATGTAGTCCATATAACATTTAGCAGTCAGTGGTCCTGACTAGCTCAACGCTAAGCATGGCATTAACGTCGCCAGGGTCAGGGGTTCGATTCCCGCCGGGACCGCCCCCCATGCTGAAAGTGTTTGCGGCACTCACAAGACGCTCTGGATAAAAGCGTCTGCTGAACGGCGTATAGTGTGATTATAATCGCATGGACCATCCCTCCTCCTTCCCATCTAATAGCCTCTCGACGCGCCGCCGTCTGAAGAGAGGAAAGCGATCATCACTCGGCCGCGTTTCTGACTCGGTCCTGAAGAGACTCACCGTCTGCGGTGGCGTGGAGGATGAGGAACATGGTGTGGTTTGGACTCGTGGCGTTGGAGAGCAGACTGGAGATCTGTGAAGAGACAGGGTGAGACCCCCCCCCCCCCCACACACACACACAGTTACACTATGAAGCCACTTCATCACGACATCGTCAGTGTTTTATTTCAAGTGTTTTACGTATCAAATGCGCAGTAAAACATTGGGGCCTAATCGGGGGCGTAATAAAATATGTATGAAATATAAAAAATATGAAATAAAATAAAATTGAAGAATATAGGAACGTCCTGTAAGCTATCATGTCCAGCCTGTGTCTCAGCGGCCTTTCATTTACAGCTCATTGCTGTTTTATGTCTGCACTGTACTTATTAAAACGTGTTGTTTTCTTTTTAATCAGCGCCGGGCGCCAGTTTGGGCGCTGGGAATACCGCCAGCCGGCAGACGAGAGTTCGGCGCTTTTTAACGACTGAAACGCGCGTTTGAGTCTGGCGACGGAGAGCGCCGCTGGCCGGCGTTTAGATTCGATTGGTTTTTCGCCAACGCCAAAACCAAGCTGTGATCTGATTCGGACTTCACTCGGAGAATTAAGTCAGTGACAACCGGGGGTCAAAGTTGAAATTGTTTTGAAATTCGAGGGCAGCGGCGAGGCTGCAAATCTGCTCCGGCTGCTGCGGCCAACTGCCACTTTAAAGCCTTCACAGCCTCTCGACGAAAGTCATTCATCATATAGGTTTCTAAATGACTCCTGGAATAGAATCGTTGAACCACTTTATTACCTTCATTACAATACAAAATATTGCAAAAAATATATAAAATATCAGAAAATTAAAATAACTGCAGAAAGACCTGTACCTGGTATCTGCCTTCCTCTGCAGCCGGATAGCCGAAGTATCGCTCTGTGAAGAATGAACCTTCGCAGAAATGAGAAGAATAAAATGAACGCACATACCAAAAACACATAGGCCTAGACGTGTTTAGAAAAAAAGTACAACTTTTATTGAATGACATGTTTCCAAGAAATGATTCAAACCCTTATTTATGTCAGTGTCCTTCCTCGATAGAAGAGGGCGTTTGTGTGATTACCGAGCGGTGAACGACGGTGTGTATCGCGTTCATATGGCGCTTTAATAGCCGTGGCCGCGACCATTTTATGTTATCGCATTTAATTAACTCACATATAAAGTTATTGTAGCTCATATGGAAATAATTCAGCTGAATGGCCTTCAATCATCTGAAAAAACATCCTCAAGGACACTTTGTGGTCTAAACATACACTTAAAAGAAACAAAGACAGAAACTGTCATTCAATAACACGTATGTATATATATATATATATATATATTTAATACATGATGAATGATAACTATGAATACGAGGAAGGCGATAACATGGCAGTAAGCCCTCCAGTATGAGGACTGTGTTAATTACCGTTCTGCTCGGAGTCAAACACACCAGACTCTTTTCACAGAGGTGTCATTGCACGTTCCCATGCCCTTGATACGTAAGTGTAGAGTTTATTTTTTGCCACTTTCATTACGCTATACCTCCTGTATGTGTATGTGACAAATTAAGTTCTTGACTATTTTGAGCGACAGCTGTGTTTGTCCTACGATGGCACCCCTGTGAAAACGGGGCTGTAGACACTTACCTTGCTACTCAAATTTAATACCGATAATAATTCAAGTAACTACTACATCTACTACTTCTACTATTGGCCACCGTCGGGCTTGAACCCAGAACCTGAGAATGAAGCATGAGAGCTTCAATGAGCCATCCCAGCTGGTCCCTCTTGTTGAGATCATCATCACCTCTTTCTCTTGGCCGACACATTTACGGTCTTCAACGATATTATATATATATTTAAGCAATATCACACGAGAGGGAGTGCTGTTATACTGAATATCAGCACAGCTGTGATTTGGTCATAGGAAGATTATCACGCTGAAGGGCTTATTACATGGCTGTACTAAAGAAATCAGTCATTTGACACAAAATATAACAACAAAAAATAATTTTACTGCTGTCCGAGAACTGCGTCCATAGCAGCGGTCTGCTCTTCAGAGGAATAGGACGGATTATAAGAACTGAACACGGAGTAGGCACCTAACACTGCAAGTGCTATTTACATTTTTTGGACATAAATCACCAAACACACTGTGTGAGCTTGTGATTATAATGGTCACCAATGCTTTCAGTTCAAGGCCCCTGCAATCTGTAATAAGTCATATAAGTCAAAGTCATATAAGTCAAAGTAAGGTTTTATGTATGTGTGTTCGATGCCGTCCTACCGTAAAGTCTCCAGTCGGTGACGGGGGAGACAGCGGCGGCGCATCTGAAGGGGGAGTCGTGGGAGAGGAGCAGGGCCGTGCTCAGGAAACCCCCATAGGCCTGTGGGAAAAAAACCCCGGGGGTTAAGCGTTGGGTTTTAAACAGAGGGATTTGACCCTCACGCCAATTTTTGGAAAGTCCACAATGCGCGTACCTTGCCGTAGACTCCCACTCTGTTGCGGTCGACGTAGGGGAGTTTGAAGAGGTACCTGAGGTATGACACACAGAGATTTATAGAAATGTAGATTTGAATATAATAGCAGTTAACAAATAGATCATTGCTGTTATAGACCCTTTAAATGTAAATTGACGACTGACACATTCCTTTTAAAGTAATGCAGAAAATGTTGTGGTTTGTATTTTTTCGTCTGCGTGTATAACCCTAACCCAACCCTAACTCTAACCTAACCCTACCCTAACCCTAACCCTAACCTAACCCTACCTTAACCCTAACCCTAACCATAACCAAACCCTAACCCTAACATAACCCTAACCTAACCCTAACCTAACCCTACCCTAACCCTAACTCTAACCCTAACCTAACCCTAACCTAACCCTACCCCTACCCCTAACCCATCTCTACCCTAACCTAACCCTAACCTAACCCTACCCTAACCCTAACTCTAACCCTAACTCTAACCCTAATATAACCCTAACCTAACCCTACCCCTAACCTATATCTACCCTAACCTAACCCTAACCTAACCCTACCCTAACCTAACCCTAACCTAACCCTACATTAACTTAACCCTAACCTAACCCTACCCCTAACCTATCTCTACCCTAACCCTAACCTAATCCTACCCGTAACCTAACCCTAACCTAACCCTACCTTAACCCTACCTTAACCCAAACCTAACCCTAACCTAACCCTAACCTAACCCTAACCCTACCCCTAACCCTAACCTATCTCTACCCTAACCCCTAACCCTACCCTAACCCTAACTCTAACCCTAACCTAACCCTACCCTAACCCCTAACCCTAACCCTACCCTAACCCTAACTCTAACCCTAACCTAACCCTAACCTAACCCTACCCTAACCCTAACTCTAACCCTAACCTAACCCTAACCTAACCCTACCCTAACCCTAAATCTTACTAGAGTTAAATGCCCCTTCCAAAATATAAATGAACAAATACATTTCAAATATCTATATATTTTTAACTTTACATCAACATCAAAATGAAAGTGTAAAAAAAGGAAAAGTCAGTCTGTGTCTCCGCTGCGGTCGGTCTGCTGAAGACCGTGAAGCTCCCAGCAACACGTACTCCACCGCAGCGATGTGGTCCTGGACCTCCAGGGTCCCCAGGCGGCGGTGGACCTCGTGGAGGACCCTCTGGCCCCGGGAGCCGCCGCCGCGGCCGTCCACGCGCGCCACGATGACGCCGTCCGAGCTCACCAGCACCGAGTCCCAGTCCAGGAGGAAGCGGTCGCTCACCGACTGTTCGCCAGGCGCGCCGTTCCTGCGAGGAAGAAACCAGCAGGAAAGCACATGACTCACTCAGAAACAAACTGTACGCAATAACCACCAGGATTATAACAGCCAGTCCTGCTCCTATGCTATTTCTAAAACAAACACACCAAAATAAAGAATTAAAGAAATGATGAGAGACAGTATGACTCAAACAAACACAACATCAACAGCGATGCCTACACGCCACAAAGCAACGGCGAATAACAGCTAATGAAGATTCAAGAAGCTTTATTTATCCCAAGGGAAATTATTGCAATAGTTGCAATACAAAGGTGCGATACAAAGGTGGGAAGGTAACGCAGGGTTTAGAGTAGAAATAAGCGTATAAAATAAATCAAACAATTAACTAAGTACTAAATGTGACAAAATGCCCGTTAATTGCGGTTAAACGTCGGTATATACAATATACAACATTACGCACCGTGCAATTTTAGCAGCATAAAATGAAATAAAATAAGTACAAACTAAATAAGTGAAAAGGAGCGGTAACAGTGGTAGTGATAAAATTGTAGTCATTTAAGGTACAGTGCTACTAAATAAAGTGACAAAGTGAAAATTGGATAATGAAACAGCAGTCATATTAACGGAGGGCTTATTTAAACACCGCTTTACGTACAGAATCAGTAAAAGTGGGTGTTGTGTTGTTTCATCCAAAGCTGCTGGGAGAGATATTTCCATGTGGAGCGCTGCAAAAACAAAAAAACACAAAAACACAAAAGGCAAATATTAGTCGCTCGCATTGTGTACAAAACGCAAACTCAACACGCCGTTTATGGAGCGACTGAAGACAAATTAACGACAACACATGTTGACTAATTAGTTCAAAACAAGAGAGCAAATTGCAAAACAAGGGGTTGCACTATTTTGAGACGCGTGTTGTTCGCTTCGGGTCTCTGAAGCACTGTGATAGTAGGTAGCAGGAGTAGATCGACGACGCGCACACAACCGCGTATTTGGAAATTAAGTGTCAACTAAAAATGTTGAGTCCTTGAATCC